ATAAACCATCTCATTTTTCTCCACAGACTTCCTCTCAACATCAAGAAAATGTTATATCTAGCATTGTTTGTTTTTTGGTAGGGCTAGGGGATTATGACATTCCTAACTCCTGGAATTCTGCAACCTTGAACTGACAGCAAAAAAAAAAAAAAAAAAAGAAAAAAAGGTAATTCTATGAAATGTTCTCTGAGTTCTCTTCTGTTCTCCCGAGAATATCTTATCCATGTGGCATTAAAAACTCTAAAATTTTATTATGATATGTCCAGATAGCCTCCCTCTTCCCTCCCCTCAGCCACTCCTCCACTACTCTCACTTTCTTCTTAGTGGTTATTGTGACCTAAAGTCTCAGTTTGGCTGCAGACAGATGGAAGCATAGAAAAGATGTAGGGAAACATGCTCTTTTTGTGTCACAGTCCAGTCTCTGAGAGGGAATGAGAGTTCTTCTCTTTTCTTATTGGTCCCAACCTAAGGACTTGAATTTAGGAAACAGTAGGGGTTGGTGAGACAGAGCACACATTTACCTTTCCAGTCAGATTTTCTTTCTTTCTGCAAAGGTGAGACATTCATAGAGTGAAGCTCATGTTAATTTTTACTTCATGTTACTCCATTTTCATTTAATGAAGTGATAAGCCTCTCCTAACAGTTTTTAGCACCATTTATATACCATCTCCATATAAACAAATCCTATTTGTGTAATTCTTTGCATTAGAAGGATCTCTGATGAATCTATGAAAGTCTATCATGAACACAAAGATCAAGTGCTACCTAACCTAGATAGGGAGCTGCTGCATTTATTTTGACTTTATGTTTATATGCTTTAAAACTGTATCTTTCAAAGTGCAGTATTATGCTATTATGAATTTTTTCATTCTTTTACCTACAGCAAATCAATTAAATATGTAGAGTCTACACAGTTTCTGTAGGTTGTGTTTTCCTTATTTATAAAATGAGACTTAAAAACTGTCCTTTGAGGACATTTCCAGGTCTAAAATAGTGTGGTGTTAATTACAGAACACAGTGTTTTCACCCAGCATGATCTTAGAAAGAAAAAAATTCTGATCCATCCTTTAAATGCATTGAGATCCAAATATATTTTACTAATAAATAATATTATATTTGCATTTTTCTATATTAATTCAACAACAATTGAGGCATGTTCTAAAATTCCGTATATGACTTAAAACTAGATCTCTGCATAAATTGGATCTTCTCATGGGCCTCGCTAGAAAAAATAAATTAAAAATTAAAATTTTATAACATTATTAATACACATGTATCATTTAAGGCAGAGTGCCAAAGTAGGTTGTTTCTACTTACAAAATAGCCCATTAATACATAAACATCAAAATGTAGCTTATAAAGTTATTTGAGTACCGAACCCTTAACCCTAGAGGAAAACAGCCAATTTGTTATCCTATCAGTGCATTTAATTTAAAACATTTATTTCAGCTTTGATGCTTCAGTACATATGTACTGTATTATTTTCCTGTAACTGCTGTAATAAGTTACCAAAAACTCAGTGGCTTAAAGCAACAGGCATTTGCTGTCTTTCCGATTCTGGAGACCAGAGTCAAAAATTAATCTTTGGGGTTAAAAACAAGGGCTGTTCTCCCTCCAGAGGCTCTAAGGGAGAATCCATTCCTTGATTCTTTCAGCTGGAGACTACAGGCATTCTTATTCAGTCCAATCTCTGCCTCTGTGGTCACCTGGCTTTCTCTTTACTTTAAATCTCCCTCTGGGTCTCATAAGAACACTTATGATTGTATTTAGGGCCCATCTGGATAATCCAGAATAATCTCCACATCTCAAGAGCCTTAACATAACCGTATCTACAAAGTCTTTTTTTTTTTTTTTCATGTAACATTCTCAGATTCTAGGGGTTAGGATTTGAGAAGGATCATATTCAGCATACATTTACTTTCATAGAAAATAAGAGTTTATTTCATCAAACACAATACTAATTTATAATCCATGTAATAATGACTCTGGATCTCCCAATCATCCACTAGTCACAGATGAGCTGAGCGAGTGTTGACTCCCTCCCACCCCCCAGTCTCTGTATATTATATAGTATACATCCTTTATATAAAGTATTAAGCTTAATTCTCCCAGGGGCTTAAAGCATTGTTTTAGATTATAAGCTTTTAATGGGAAGAAACGTAGAATATGGTGCTTTTCTAGGAGTGAATATTTCACTGTGAAGTACAGGATGACATGCCATAAATGTATTTTTATTCTGATTTCAAGAAGAATGAACCACCCGTGCCTCTCTGAAAATAAAGAGGTGTCTATATACAATAAGGCTGTCAGATTAGGAAACTCTAATCCACAGTTGTAAATTACTCAGAGGGTAGGTAGGGTAAACTGTTTTCAGATCATGATACAGTAAGAAAATGGCAGAGAAAACCATAGAAGAATATGGAAAAATAAGAAGTATGAGGTTTAAAATATTACAAAAAAGCAAAAAAACAAAACTTAACTTTGAAATTTCCATCCAGTGGTTTATAAAGAAGCCATGTGAATCCCTGTTATAAGAATCGTACAATGAATTTTTAGCAATTCTTAGTTGAGAGGAAGGTGGCTCCATACATGGAGTCACATTTTAATAGAACTAGTGTGGCTTGTTCTGAAATATGATAGAGAGACGGAAAGGAAGAGGCAGAGAGAGAGGGAGAGAAAAGAGAGAAAAACAGGGAAATGAGAAATTAGAGCAGAGTTTCACCTGTTTTAGATTTATTCACTTCTAATAAGACCACTTAGAGTAAATGACTGGTAATAGTTACAAACACAAGATACCTGATACACACGGAAAGATAAAGGTGGATCTTTTCCATAAGGTTTCTTCTCAGAGAGGCTTTTCTTTTACTGATCAACTTATCAAAATTTCCAACCACATTTCTCAACATTTTAAAATCCCAATTTCTAATTTATTTTTTATTCTCCCAATAATTGCTGTATAAAATTCAGTCTATAAGACTTTGTTATTTATTAGTCTCCCCCAATGGAATGCTAGCTCATTAAGGGACATGAAACTCCTCAAATTTGTTCACCACATATAGTATCCCAATGCCAAGAACAGTATCCCACAACAAGTAGAGCTATATATATTTTTTAATGAATAAATAGCTTGGTCATTTAATTAATACTTCTGATGCAATGAAGAATTTATTTTCTAATTAACTGTCAGAAATGTGTGTTTTACAGATCATTTGCATAACCTATCTTGCAAATAGGTCCTTAAAATCCAATGAACTTCATAATGAGAAAACAGCAAATAAGTATGATAATTATAATGGATTATATAATATTATTTGAGTTTTGAAATGCCTGGGCAACTGAAAACTAAATTCATATTAAATACTCAATAAAAAAGGATCTAAACCTAAGTTTGAACAAGAGAAAAATAAAAATGCATTTAAGCGATATTTCTATTAAAAAAAAATTCCTTCCTAGTATGTATGTGTGTATATATGTGTATGTGTATATAAAATATCATATTACTAAGATTAGGGAAGTACTTTCTTATTTTTAAATCCTAGTAACTTGTCCGGGTTTTTCACAGACGCATTTTCACTCTGTTGATTGTGTCCTTTGGTGACATGGTCCAATTGTCTATTTTTACTTTTGTTGTCTGTGTTTTTGGTGTCATATCTAGGAAATCCTTTCCAAATTCAATGTCATGATGCTTCTCCCCTGCTTTCTTCTAAGACTTTTACATTTTAGGCCTCACTTTTAGTTTTTTGACCCATTCTGACTTAAATTTTCCATTTTGTGTAAAATAAAGATCCAGTTTCCTTCATTGTCCCATAAGCAAACTGGAATGAGGACAGTTGGGTGGACAACATTTCTGGTGTCCCACCCCTGAGGTAAAGACACTACTCTATCAGTGGGGATTTTAGTGGAAGAACAAATACACTAATCTTTGGATATACTCTCCAGGAATTTAGGCTCTAAAACTGAAGCATGGGGGGACAGAGTATGAGTGTATAAAATGTTGGCAACCTGTAATTCTCAGGGTAATAATGTTGCTTTCAATTTCAAGCTACAGGAAGATCTTGGCTGCACTTGTTTGAATTGGATTTTCTAGCATGCTGAGCTAAGAATGAGAGGGAGGGTGTGGACCGTGTTTCAGATGATGTAGATTCTTGCTATTCCCTTTGTGTTTTAGATTTCCTTGAATAAATGTTAATTTATTTGCTGCATACACTTATGGAAATTTCTAGAGAAATTATGCTTCTTTCATTGGAGAGCAGAAATCTTCATGTTACCATTCAAATGTATATATACATGTTAAATTGTCTGAATTAAAAATCCTTATCATTTAAATAATGATTTTATAAAACTAATTATTAATACCCTTTCTTTAATAAAATGTTAGAGAATTCATTGCTATTTTGTCCTAACAAAAAGAAAGCAAAACATATGTTACTGAACTTGCTGCACCTTTTCATTTTGGGGATGAAACAACACTAAATTTAACTTCTTTTGGTTTCGCTGCCCAATCACATAGCTAATGATATGCTGAAAAGTTGCATTTATGTTATAAAGATATATAATATTAATAATTAATCAAAGGTATATTGAAGAGCAGTGATTTATAGGGCTGTTTCATACAGGCACCCCTTTAAAAGTAAATTGATAGTAATCATTTTTGCACCAAAATCAGTATAAATTACATAAAACAGTAATAATCAATGAATAATCAATAAATTAATTTTATAAGTACATATGGTAAAATTTCCATATGTGCTTCATCTGCCTCACTTACGTACCTGAAATTATCCACTCATACTTGCAGAACCAATATTAGGCGGTTAAGAAAGTGTGGGCTCTGGAGTAAGATCACCTTTGTTTTAGTCTGATTTATTTATTTTTATTGACTTACATATTGCATTAGTTTCAGGTGTACAGCATACTGGTTCAGGGTTTTTCTGTTTTGTTTTGTTTTGTGGGTTATATTCCATTTTAGGCTATTACAATAATTCACTGTGCTACACAGTAAAACTATGGAATGCTTCATAAATTTGCATGTCATCTTTGTGCAGGGGCTGCACTAATCTTCTCTATATCATTCTAGTTTTAGTGTATGTGCTGCCAAAGCAAACAGTCTGGCTTATTTGAACTAATTAATTTAACTATGTTTAAATATAGATTCATTTTAGTTTGAATAACTTAACTTCTCAGCGATTCAGTTTTAATTTCTAAAAATGCCAGTAATAGCACCAACTAACTGCATTTTTCTGATGATCAAATTACTTAAGTATATGTCACACCTAGAATGTGCCCAATATTTTTAAGTGCTTAATAAATGGAAGTCATTTTTGTTGTTGCTGTTTTTGTTGTTGTTATTACCAGTTATTTAAAAATAATCCTCTACCACTAGGTGTGTTTAAACCTACCATTAGTTTTCTCATTAGAGTATTAAGCAATGGTTAATAGGTCTAGAAATGAATTAATGCAAAACTGGTTTTAATGTCCAGCTTATCACTTGCCAGCTATATGACTGTAGGAAATTTACCTAACTACTGTGAATCTTGATTTTACCATCTTTGGAAGAAGGATTAGAGTTTGGTTAAGTAAGGTAGTGCACAATAAGACTTTTTAACTAATAATAAACAGCAAAATTTGCCTTCTGGAGATTGGTTTTCATCTCCTCCTTAATTATCACTTATTTAAACCAGTTTTATTTTGATTCTTATTAGTGCATTTCATTTTCAGGTATTCTTCATATGTTCTGTATCTGAATTCTCATTTCTCCTCTACCCTGTTATATTTGTACTCTGCTTCTTAAAAAGTAAACAAAAGGAAAAACTTTTAGGATATGAACAAACTAATACTGAAGTGAATTGATTTTTATTTTTTGCATTTACCTTTTCCAGGTCAGTTCTAGTGCCTTAAGGTTTTAATGATAATAAAGTAAAATTTTCTGTACTGCCAAAGGATTGTTGTAGAGACCAGAGCCATGTTAGTATGAAAGATGAAAATTCTCACTAAATGCATCTGATACTGTCTTTTTAGAAAAGGTATGAATCACTAGGAAAACAATTTCTGTTTTTTTCACATAATTGGATTTTTAATATTCTAACTTCTGTAGCTTCTAACAAAAAAGGATTTCTTCTTATCTGGATATGCAATTTAGAAAATGTAGTTTTATGAAAAAATAAGAATTTTGCTACAATATGAGTTGATTGTAAAACTCAGTGTATATAACTGTACTGTTGAAGTAATGTTAAAACATGAATATTGCAACACTAAATATAATATTCAAGAAAAAGTCAATTGATTTCAAATCTTAAATCACTGAGATTACCTGTTTATTATAATGTACTATCAAAAATTTCTGAATAAGTTAAACAGCAAGTTTCTACTGTATAGCACAGGGTTCTATATTAAATATCTCATAGTAACCTATAATGAAAAGAGTATGAAAAGGAATGTATGTATGTATATGTAAGAATGAAAAATTATGCTGTATATCATAAATTGACACATTATAAACTGACCAATTTCAATTAAAAAATCTGAATACGTAAGTTAGTTAAACAAGAGGGTATTATATTAAATTAGTATTTTTCAAATTGTTTTTTTAACACTGTTACATGACCTTTTTGAATATTTTGTTTATAAAATAGTGATACAGTATAGAATTTATAGTGAAACTACTATATGATTCATTTATTTATCCAAAAAAATCCTTATATAAAATATTACACATGTAAGATCCACATTGAATAAAAATCTGCATACATTTATCTTCACTCAGTTATATGAGTCTTAGAAACAGAATTGTAATACCAAATTCTGTAAAAAATTTTTAACATATACGCCAAAGATTCTGGTCATTTATAGTATTAAACATATGAAAGATATCAAAGTGCACTTATATTTAAAATTCATAAGGTCAAGTGGAACCTTAGTCTGCCTACTAAACCTTCCACACTTCTATAACCTGGTGTTTTATAAAGATAAGTAGAGAAATCAATAATCAGCCTTTATAAAATGTTACAGCAATTTGACAGAGTAGTAATATCTGTTTAAACTAATAAAAATGGATTTGTATGTTGTATGCCTTTTATTTCATCTTCCAAATAATTTATTTTTATTGCATTTTAGATGCTCATGAGAAATTGGAAATTAAAAACAAATGAACAAACAAGCAAAAACTTGCACTTCATCATAAATACAGTAAGAAGCAATACTCTAACTAATTAAATCTTTCAACTTTGTTAGAAACCATTTTATAACTTCCCTTTCTCCTCTATACTTCAGAATATCTTTCATATTTTTTCACCATCAACTAGTAACTTTGTTTTGTATTTCACTGGGAAAATAGAAGGAAAAATCCATATACCTCCTAACCCTCCTCCCCTCCCCCAGCACACACACATTTCATTCACTTCAGCACCTGTGTCCCTCCACTTTGCTTTAGCTTCCATTAGGATGGATAAGTTTTCTATGCTCCTATCTACGGACAGCCCCTTCATGCTCCTTCCCTAAAATATGGCTATAATCAAACTA